CCATACACCAAAAGGGTAAAAATAAAGAAGTATGAATGAATATTGTTGGTACTGAAATAGTTTCTTATAACTCAGTGCATTGTTGTTGTTTAAAAAGATCTCTCAGAAAAATAATAAATCAGCAACACTAATGTCTACTTTTTTTTGTATTTATTCCAATCTCCCTTCTAACATTTCTCTCTATTTACATATACCAAACCAATTAAAAATCAAGCATATAATACATAAAATTCATATGCAGTGGTACCACTACTACTCAAAAGGCCCATCAATTTATCAAGACTTATTTCACCCACTACTTTCCACTCTCATGTCACACTCAGGCACTAATTAGACAAGATGGATAAATCCTCTTCACCAGAGATTTTTGTTTTGTTTTGTTTTTGTTACTGTAATCAAAAAGAACTTAGAATCTAACCCATGGAACATATACTCTTGTAGAAAGTTCCTTAAATATAATGCCTCCTAAGTTACTTATGAGATGCAATGACACATTAAGCTACCCTGAGAATTTGTCTCTTCAATAATGGTCTCATAAAACATCAGAGACTAATAAATACCAAGTAAACTTGTAATCCAATTGTACTGTTTGTTTACCACAATAAGTTGGATTAGCATACTACATGAAAAAATAACCAAAACATGATTTGTTCATGCACAATTCAATTCCTGGTCAAGTCTAGTTTCAAAAGAAATGACAATGAATTTGTACCTGTATATTCAGATTATTTTCTCCCCAAAAAGTGTTAATGCTGAAATCTGATTAACATCTACTGTCATATGTAAATTATTCCAGACTGTGCATTTATATGCTATGTTTAGTCATTTACCTGATACTGGTCCTAGCCCTAATCTAACTAGATCTATTACACCTTCATGCTAGAAAAATGATGGCTATGCTAGTGGTTATTGAAGGCAAAAGGCTTACAACATTTTACAATCAGACAGGCCCTGTGCTTCAAGTGATATCACAACTCGGCTGAGGTGGAGCTCTGCAAGGTGAAGACCTCTTGCTAACTGCCAGGTCCTGTGCTACTAAGAGTTTTTGGCTATTCATATTATGCGAGTTTATTGTTTCCACTAACTATTACTGCCTTATTTGGTTAGCAAACATCAGTAGGAGTTACCCGATAGCAACTGACTGGGGTAACTGTATACATGTGCTGTCATGTTATAGAGATGACCGTTTCGTTAAGGTTTCTTTTAGAACCACAAGTACTACCTATTCAAATAAGCATAAACACAATTTCCGGGTGCTTAATCTTATATTTTCCATATTTGATTGTTCAAAGCACTGAAAACTGAGCTATAGGTCCCCCTTCCCCAAGCTTAAGTCTACATTCCGAGAGCTTAATAATTATAATTGCAGGCAAACTCACAACATATTTCTAATGAAGTGTCACTTAAAAGGGAGTAAAAACTACACAAGGTATAAGTAGTTGATACGAAGGTGTTCGTCTCGCAAACAGCTTTCGCAATACAGTGAGATGCAGATCAAATATATTTCTGAATGTTACTTTCCTTTTAACATAGGAATACGATTGCTTTATAAAGACTAATACACATTGCCTTAAATTATCATTTCGACTAACTTCGTTTCCTTATTGGCTTCAACGAATCGGCGTTTTCACTTTTCCCAAGGAGTGCATCCTGACATCATTTTCAACGTCGCCTATTAAAGAACGGACAAGTTAAAACTACGGTGGTGTTATCATATCACAACGTAACTGTTTCTACTTCTGCCAGACGCAGCACCCGGACGAATCGAAAATTTGCCAACGAGAAAGTAAACACCATCACGCCGCTCCACCTCCCGATTTGCGTCATATATCAAAATCTTAGCTTCTCTTATTTACCATAAGCATATATTCCACGGAGGAGGTCCTCTCTCAGTCCCATGTTATCGAAGGTTGGGACGACCTCCACCTCTTCGCTGGTCTCAAACTCGACATTGGAGAGGTCTTCGGGGATCACTCTTCTCACGCGTCCTTCCGCCATGGTGTTTACTGCCGCTCTGTTCTCCTGGTCAGGAACTCCGGAATGCTGGACGGAGGGACGGAACGGAACGCGGTATGAAACGAAGCCACGACAAACCTTTTGGGTGGATCTTCTGGGATAACTTTGAGGCTGTCTTCTTTGCACATATGCATGGTGTAGAATAAAGAGGGAAAATTCTCTTTGGGATACTAATAGGTCTTACACATCATGCAATCACATCTCTGTAACATATGAATGTTTGTGGTACAATTTTGATTATCGGTCTCGATATATGGCAAAATATACAAAGGTAATCAGATATTTTCTTATATATGTCATGTTTTATAGGGTGTTCATGCACACTGTCCCATTTTCCTGCAAACACAATATTTGTATGCGTTTGCGTTTGTCTGTATTTCATGATGATGTTATGCTGCTGAACTAGAAAAATTATCAGTGCATAAAGTGTGAAAAGTTCCTTGGCTTTGCCCTAGCTTTTCCTGACGAACATAAGGTTTCTGAA